CTAGCAAGCCCCGTTGATATTGGCTGTATTTATAATTGCTGCCTTTTGACAGATGGAGGAACTAAGGTTCACAAAGGAACACGTTCAAAATTCCAAAGAGCCTGTTTAACCCCAGGGCCTCAGCTTTTGCCTGGTACCAGGGTAAGTGCTTTACCACCATTCCCTTCCATCCAACACCCCTGGGAGACAGGTCCTACTGTATTCAGCAGATGAGAAAACCAAAGCATAGAGAAACAGCCAACAGCCCCAGAAAGATGTGGAGCACCCGGATTCTAATACAGGCCAGTGCCCCTAGCTCCCTATCACATTGCCTGCTTTCTGGGCTGCTTGCCTGCTTTCTGGCTGCAGAGGCCCGGGTCAAAAGTCTTACTGATACAAAAAGTCTCTCGGCAGATGGGCTGGCTGCCTGCCATCTGAGCACATAGGATAAGAAGTTTCTCCCCGGGCCATCAGCCCCAGACGTTCCCTAGGGCCTGTGGGCACTGCCCTCTGAGGTCCTTCCCTGCAATTTCTGGGGCTTGGCCAAGATCTCAGGCAGCTCTGAATGAATCATTCCCACAAATCCTCCCCTGGCTGCAGTCCAGGGTGGGGGAGACCTGAGAAGTGACAGGCGAGGGGACAGTCATCCCAGACCTCTGGAGGGGCCCTAGACAGTGTACACACAGGTCCTCAAAGAGCAAAGGGACTTGCAAGCAATAGGAATAGGCAGCAAGTCGGGGAGCAGGAGCTGCTGCTACCCAGAGAAGCTTCCCTGGTGCCACATGGGGCATCAAAGCCACACAAGCCACATTCATGTTTCCAAAAAGGTACATTCTGGTCACCAACCCCAGGCTGTGAAGCTATATCTGACCTGCCACTCTTGCTGCAAATACACCCACAAAGTTACATCAATAATACATTTCAACAGCCTAACCGATCCCAAGGTGCCACCACATCTTAGTTCTGAATGGTCTATGCCCATTCCTCAGTAGGGTACACTGAGACCCAGAGAGGGGCAGTTCCTTGCCTAGGGAGCCTTCCCACCCCGTCTCCATGTCCCCAGGCTGCTTTCTTTTCCTTTCTTTTTAAAAAATATTTAATTGATTTTTGTGTTCTGACCTAATACCCTACAATCCTGCCCTGTCACCCAGGCCGGAGTGCAGTGGTGCGATCTCAGCTCACTGCAACCTCTGCTCAAGCGATCCTTCCACCTCAGCCTCCCGACCATCTGGGAATATAGGTGCGCACCACCATGCCTGGCTAATTTTTGTATTTTTTGTAGAGATGGAGTTTCATTACATTATTCAGGCTGGTCTCAAACTCCTAGGCTCAACCAATCCACCCACCTCAGCCTCCAAAAGTGCTGGGATTCTAAGCATGAGCCATGCACCCGGCCTAGGCTGCTTTCTTAAGGCACAGGAATTCAGGATTTTAAAAGGACAAGGAACAGCAAGTATGCAAAAAAGAATAAAATCATGAGGTGCCAGATACAGAGGCTGGGAGGCGTGGTCTTAACGCCATTCCCAAACAGCAGCTGTCCCAGATGAACCAAGTTGTCAGGAAACTGGAACATGCAGATAAGTGCCGGTTTAAGTTCCTGAACCAGCAGAGTACAGGTTCGAGCTGGGGTGAACTAACTACCTTCAAGGAACTCTTCCTCTGTGAAAATGCTGGGTTCTGACCTGAGTTCTTCCGGTGCAGCCTCTTGCTGAAGCAAAGAGCGTGAAGGAAGAAACACAGGGTCCTAGGGGTGGGGAAGATGCTGAGAGGAGGGGGAAGATGTCTGTATGTGCAGAATGTTCACAGATGAAGCGTCTGTAACTCAGGACTGCTCATTTCAGGCCTGGGGGGTGGCCCCTCTTGAGATAAGCAGCAACTCACATAGGACATTCTTGTGGCCATCCAGAGAGGTCACCTTCAGAGTGGCGTGGGGGGTCCAGTAGAGTGTGAGCAGGACCAGACTTAATTTGGGGGTCAAGGGACAAGTCTTCCCCTTCAGTTATAGTCTAGGAGAGCCATGGAGGGTCTCCCTGGCCTCCACAAAGCCTCAGCTGGCAAAGGGGCTCCAGGCTGCCCTGGGGTGGGAAGATCCGAGCAGCTTCCACCTTCCTTTCACCCCTCCTAATACTGTGTGCCAGCTCCTGGGGTGGGCTCTGTAAGCCACTGGGTCCTACACTGCCTCCCCTTGCTTCAGTATTTTCACAGTCTTGCTCTGTCACTCAGGCCAGAGTGCAGTGGTGTGATTGATCTTGGCTCACTGCAACCTCCACCTCCCGGGTTCAAGGGATTCCCCTGCCTCAGCCTCCCAAGTAGCTGGGATTACAGGCGCGCGCCACCACACCTGACTAATTTTTGTATTTTTAGCAGAGACGGGGTTTCACCATGTTGGATAGGCTGCTCTCGAACTCCTGACTTCAGGTGATCTGCCCGCCTGGGTTCCCAAAGTGCTGGGATTACAGGCGTGAGCCTCCGCACCTGGCCTGAAAATAGTTTGTAATTAACACATCAAAGCCAGCGATTTCAAGGGTTATGACTGACGCAGGGAACACTAAATGTATTTAAGATTACTGGAACCCTCATACACTGGTGGTGGGAATATAAAATGGTATAGCTGTTCTGGAAAAACAGTCTGGCAGGTCCTCAACAGGTTAAACCTGGGTGCGGTGGCTCACACCTATAATCCCAGCACTTTGGGAGCCTGAGGTAGGAGGATCGCTTGAGATCAGGAGTTCGAGACCAACCTGGGCAACATAGTGGGACCCCCTTATCTCTACAAAATAAATAAATAAATAATAAAATAAGTTTAAAATAATTTTAAAGGTGAAACCTAAAGTTACCTTATGACCCAACCATTCCACTCCTAGAAATATACCTGAGAGAACTGAAAATGTCCATACAAAGACCTGTACATGAATGTTCATGGTATTATTCATCACAGTCAAAAATTAGAAACAACCCAAACATCCATCAACTGACAAATGGACAGAATGTGGTATATCCACATAATAGAATATTATTCAGCCACAAAAAGGAATGAAGTACTGATACATGCATTCTCTGAAGTGAAAAGCATCAGATACAAAAGGCTACCTAGTATATGATTGCATTTATATGAAATGTCCAGCACAGGCAAATTCACAGAGAATTTGAGAGTGAGTAAGTGGTTGCCCAAGGGATAGGGGAAGAAAGGATTGGGGAGTGACCATGAAACAGCATTTCTTTTGGGCATGACAAAAATGTTTTAAAATTAGACAGTGGTGATGGCTGCGCAACTCTGAACATCCTAAAAACTACGGAAACATATAATTTAAAAGGGTGAATTGTACGGTATGTGAACTGTATTTCAACAAAGCTGTTATAAAAAGTTTGCACGAGATTTTTAAAAATCAGGTGATACAAAGATATATATTAAGTAAATAATAATACAATTGGGGTTCAGTGGGGTGGGGGGATTCAGAAATGATGCAACAATTCCTTTAGGACAATGACATAAACCCAGTTTTACAGTTATGGAAACTGAGGCTAAATCGGAAGGAAAATGGGTCGCCCGGGCCACATCACTACTAAATCCAGGTGTGAGTCACAGATCTGTTCAAATCCAGAAGACTACCCTCGCCATCAGACCACCCTGCTGAGGTGAAAGGGTTATCAGATGGAGGCTAGGGAGAGGTGTCCACCCACAGCCCAGTCCGGCAGACAGACATGCAAGGGAATGTCTGTTGGGAAGTGAGAAAAAGGGCTGGCTACCTCTGTGGGGTTCAAAACAGGAAGCACCCAACAATACCAGGAGAATGCCAGGGAAGGCTTCCCGGAGGAGGTGCTGCTTGAGGGGGCTTCTGTAGGATAAGTAGGAGTTCACCAACCCGCCTCCTCAATATCCCCATAGGACATTAAGTCAGGAGGCCTGTGAGTGAGTTTCAGCTCTGCCACATCCTAGCTGTGGGTCCTAGGGTCAAGGGCAGGTGACCTCTCCAAGCCTCAGTCTCCCCATCTGTAAAAGGGGAAGGGGGCAAGATGTTAGGCACGGTGCTTTCTAATGACTGTGCTGAAGTGGATGGTTCTTTCCCTAGGGAACGGGCCTTTAAGTGGGAATGCCAGACCTCGACCTCTGTCCCACCTAACAACGACTCTGCCAGGTCAGGCGTGCTCAGCCTCTGAGCCCACGATCCCCGTCCCCCGCTACCCCTCCCAGTCCCGGCTTTCCGGGCACCTCCCATCCAGCTCACTCTGAGAAGCATAGGTTACGGAGGGAGGTTGGGAGCGGGGGTGGGATCCTCAGGTCAAATTCCTCTCCGCTCCTCACCAGTGACCTCCAAGTTCACTAGGGCTCCCCAACCCCGTGCTCCCAGCGCCCACCTCCCCAGCCGACGATTTCCGCCCCCAACGCCTCCACTTCTGACGCTCCGCGCAACTCCACGGCTGCTGCAAGTTAACTTCCACGCGCCCCGGCGCCCGCCTGGGGGTCCCCGCGCGCCTGGGCGGGGTTGGAGACTCCGAAGGCGGGGACGCGCCGCCCTCCCCGCCAGGTCCCCCCCAACAGACGCTGAGCGTCTCCCAGGCGCTGGGTCCGAAGCGGGAAGCGCGGTAACGGGGGCCCGGTGGGTGCCGCACCCCGCGGAAAGCGCTCGGGACGCCGAGCGGGTGCGGATCCCAGAACCGCCCGCCCGCGCCGCCTGCCTGCCTCCCAGATCCCAGCTCCCAGCCCCGGAGCCCGAGCAGTCGCGCCGGGCCCGGAGGCAGCCGCCAGGACGGAGGGTTGCCAGGCGCCCGAGGCCGACCCGCACGGCCCTGAGCCCGCGCCCCCGGCTGCAGCCCCAGGCCGCCCCCTCCGCCGCCCCAGGGCCACCTACCGTGGCGAGGCGCTGCCAGGCAGCCCCGCGCACACAGCGACTCCGGGCTCTCCAGCCGCCCCGGCCGGGGAAGGGGGAGGCGCCCGCGCGGGGGCGGGGCCGCGGCGACGTGACGTACGGGGGCGGGCCCGAGACGCGGCCCCGCCCCGCCCCGTCCCCTCCACTGCGTCTCGGGACCGCGAGGTAAGCAGAGCCTGGCTGGGGAGTTTCCCGGAGGCTCGCCCCGGGAGCTTCGCCCCGCCGCCCTGGAAGCCCCTGTCTGCCCCCTGGCTTACCCCTAGGACGGGCAGCTCACCACTTCTCCCGGACAGTTCTATTTAAGAGAAGTTCCTTTCTGCCGGTAAGCAATGAAGTGGAATGACCACCAAAAAGTGGTATAAGAAAAGAAAAGTAGACCCGCAGCGGCGTGTATTTGTGCTACTGTTTGTGTAAAACACAGAAAAAATAAAGTAGTGGTCTGATGTATATTCATACACACCAGTGATTTTGGAGGAGGTTTGTGTGGAAATACCACATTCTATCCATTTATCAGGGATTTTGCTCTGACATCCCTCCACCACCACGACATTTGGCAATCTCTGAAGACATTTTTGGTTGTCCTAACTGGGGAAGAGGAGAGGCGCTACTGGCATCTCGTGAGTAGAGGCCTGGGATGCTGCTAAACATCCTGCAGTGCATGGGACACCCTTTCCACCCCCGGCCTGCCACTACCCCAACAACAACAACAACAAAAAACAGCAAAACAAGCCGGGCGCGGTGGCTCACGCCTGTAATCCCAGCACTTTGGGAGGCCGAGGCGGGCGGATCACAAGGTCAGGAGATCGAGACCACGGTGAAACCCCGTCTCTACTAAAAATACAAAAAATTAGCCGGGCGCGGTTGTGGGCGCCTGTAGTCCCAGCTACTCGGGAGGCTGAGGCAGGAGAATGGCGTGAACCCGGGAGGCGGAGCTTGCAGTGAGCCGAGATCGCGCCATTGCACTCCAGCCTGGGCGACAGAGCGAGACTCCGTCTCAAAAAAAAAAAAAAAAAAAAAAAAAACAGCAAAACATGCCGAATAGCGTAAAGGTTGTGAAACCCTGATATACACAAATGAAGTAAAACTCCTGACTGATAAATCTCAGCACAGTCTAAGTTCTGTAACCTTTCAGTGCTTCTGCTTCTTCATGTGTAAAATTGGAAAAATAATAGACCTATCTATGCATCATATGCTTGTGCATTGAATACCTGAAGAAAATGTAGGGTAGGCATGCAGGCTTACTTTTCACTGTGAACTTTAGTTCTTTGTTCTCTTTTAACTTTCTATTTGCCATATGTATATATTATCTGTTTAAAATAAATTTCTGGGCCAGGCGCGGTGGCTCACACCTGTGATTCCAGCACTTTGGGAGGCGAGGTGGGCGGATCACTTGAGGCTAGGAGTTCAAGACTAGCCTGGCCAACATGGCGAAACCCTGTCTTTACTAGAAATACAAAAATTAGCCAGGTGTGGTGGTACACGCCTGTAGTCCCAGCTACTCAGGAGGCTGAGAAAGGAGAATCGCTTGAACCTGGGAGACAAGGGTTGCAGTGAGCTGAGAGTGCACTGCACTCTAGCTTGGGCAACAACAACAACAAAAAAAGTAATCTCAGCACTTTCAGAGACTGAGGCGGGTGGATCACCAAGTCAGGAATTCAAGACCAGCCTGACCAATATGGTGAAACCCCGTCTCTACTAAAAATACAAAAATTAGCCGGGCATGGTGGCGTGTACCTCAGCTACTCAGGAGGCTGAGGCAGGAGAATCACTTGAACCCAGGAGGCAGAGGTTGCAGTGAGCCAAGATGGCACCACTGCACTCCAGCCTGGGTGACCGAGCAAGACTCGGTCTCAAAAAAAAAAAAGAAAAGAAAAAATGAGCGGGGCATGGTGTTGCTCACCTGTAATTCCCCCTACTTGGGAGGCTGAGACATGAGAATCACTCGAACCCAGGAGGCAGAGGTTACAGTGAGTGTAGATCGCACCACTGCACTCCATCCTGGTTGACTACACACACACACACACAAACTAAGGCACACAGATATTAAGTAATTTGCACATGGCCAGCCATGTGTTCATTCATTGGTCACTCATTAATTCATTCATGTGTCCGATAAATAGTGCCTACCATACGGAAAATGCTGGGACTGGTAATGCTGCCTCCATGGAGCCAGCCATGACTGGTCTGGAAACAATATTACATAGTGTTTATTACGTGCGTGTTAGAGACTTCATATGACTGATCTGATAGGCACATAGATTAAACACCAGCAGCATGTTTTATAATGTCCTTTTGTGGATGAACAAAATGGAGATCAGAGGAAGAGGTCTGAATGGAGGCATTTGTTTAATAACATTCTAGCAATGGCATTTCCTGAGCTCTCTGTGCTAGGCACAGATTCAGCAGCTAACAGGGCGACAAGGGTCCTGTGTCCAAGCTGGGGAAGCTAGATCCTTTGACAAGCCTCCACAGTAAAGTGAGCACCTGTAACTGACGAGGCAGGAGCAACAGAGGTTAACCTGGTCCAGGGAGGGAGGGCCGGGGGTGTGTATACATGCCAGAGGCTTGGGTGGGGATGCTTGGAAGAGTGCACCAGCAGGTGCAAAGGCCTAGCAGGAAGGAGGCGAGTGTGGGGCCTTGCATGAAATGCAGAGTGGACAGGATGTGGTGGAGGTGAGAGAAGAGATCAGAGGTGTCTGCAGGGCTGGATGCTGCAGAGCTCTGTGGGCCGTGGGGAGGAGTCGGGGCTTTTCTCTTGCGGTGATGGAGAGACAGGGAAGGTATTCGGCAAGGGAAGGGCATGGTGAGCCTGACTTTCTGCAGAGATCCATCTGGCTGCTGCATGAAGAAGAAACAGGCAGAAACTGTTTTGGAGGGTGTTGAAATAATTCAGGAACCCAGAGAGGGGATGTGGGCATGGAGGGGGCGTTTTGGTTCCAGAGATGTTTGGAAGACAGAATTGGCAGATCTCAGTTGAGAGGCTAAGGAGGAGGATCAGAATGATCGTCTTGTTGTCTAGGTTGGGGCTTCTTCTCTCAGCACCCCTAGCTCAGTGAACCCTCCCAGGTCTCAATCTGTCTGTCACCTCCTTGAGGAAGGCTAACTGCCCCTCAGGACATCCTGGTGAACCAGACACCAGACCATGCAGCCCAGGAATTTGATGTGACTTTGAAGGCAGGCAGAATAATTCATTCCTCCTGTCTGCATCTTCAGCCGGGAACACCTAGAGCAGATACCTCTTCTGTCTTCCTCCCCAACCTATCTTCCCAGCATCTAGGCAAAACCCAGTACTTAAGAGATCTTCAGTCAATATTTGTCAAAAGCAGGAAGCATAGATGTAGCATAACACACATTGATCCAAAAATTCCTTCCAGCTCTGACATTCAAGAAGATGATGTTGCCGGGCGCGGTGGCTCAAGCCTGTAATCCCAGCACTTTGGGAGGCCGAGACGGGCGGATCACGAGGTCAGGAGATCGAGACCATCCTGGCTAACACGGTGAAACCCCATCTCTACTAAAAAATACAAAAAATTAGCCGGGCGAAGTGGCGGGCGCCTGTGGTCCCAGCTACTCGGGAGGCTGAGGCAGGAGAATGGCGTAAACCCGGGAGGCGGAGCTTGCAGTGAGCTGAGATCCGGCCACTGCACTCCAGCCTGGGCGACAGAGCCAGACTCAGTCTCAAAAAAAAAAAAAAAAAAAAAGAAGATGATGTTGATGCTATATCAGTAATTACACTTTAGGCCAGGCTCAATGGCTCACTCCTGTAATCCCAGCACTTTGGGAGGCTGAAAAGGGAGAATAGCTTAAACCCAGGAGATCGAGACCAGCCTGGGTAACATAGTGAGACTTTGTCTCTACTTTTTTTTTTTTTTTAAATTAAAAAAATTTTTAAACACTTAATTTAATTTAATTTAATTAATTTATTTTTTTAAGACAGAGTCTCACTCTATTGCCCAGGCTGGAGTACAGTGGTGTGATCTCAGCTCACTGTAACCTCTGCCTCCTGGATCCAAGCAATCCTCCTGTTTCAGCCTATTGAGTATCTAGGATTACAAGCATATGCCAATATGCCCGGCTAATTTTTGTATTTTGAGTAGAGATGGCATTTCTTCATGTGGGCCAGGCTGGTCTCCAACTCCTGACCTCAAGTGATCTACCTGCCTTGAGCTCCCAAAGTGCTGGGATTACAGGTGTGAGCCACTGTGCCCAGCCACAGAAAACACTTTATTCAGGTGCTTGCTATGTGCTAAACACCTTATAATTATTATATTCAAGATGATCATTTACCCTTTCCAATCTTTTGGTGTTTTATTATCATTACTCCCATTTTACAGATGTGGAAACAGAGGCTCCATCAGGTAATTTGATTTGGCCAAGGATAATAGCTGGTAATTGTCAGAGCTGGAATGCAAACTCAGGTCTCTCTCACCCTTTCTAGTACACCAGTAGAAGGCAGTGGCTCGGCAGTGGGCAGGAAGTAAAGGTAAGTGAGCAGGTTTTCTTCTCCTTCTGGAAGGGTGTAATATTATTGTTCTAGCTGGGGATCCAGGCTTTACAAAGCATTCAGTGATCCTGAGTACCTGACCCAGACGATTGGCTGTCGTGGCAGTGTGGCTCTAACAAGGCTCATCTCTTTAGAACCTCCGCAGGGCACCCTAGAACCATGTCTTTTCCCCAGAGCCCAGTTGCTGTGTATCTATCAGCATCGCATGCTGGCACAAAAGCATTCAATGCTGCTGGGTGATCCTCCTGCCTCCACCCCACATATACACACTGCCGGCGTTGGGCTTATGCTCCAGTGTCTAAAAGATTATGGGTTGCCTCTTGTCGATGAGAATGAAAGCTGCTCTCTCATAATCAAGATGCTTTGCCTTTCCAAAGGCCCAAGACTCAAAGATTCACAGGCTGGGATCTATCTAGCCTTGAAACAATATGAAGTCCCCAATTTCCCCAGGCATTGTATTTTAAAGCCAGTGTTTAGGGACACTCCTGCTTGAACCTGTGAGGTGGAGGTTGTGGTGGGCTGAGATCACACCACTGCATTCCAGCTGGGCAATAGAGCGAGACTCTAGCTAAAAAACCAAAGCAAAAACAAACAAACAAACAAAAAGCTAGCATTTAGAGCCAAACCCATGCAGTCAAAATTGCCTTGGAGAAGCCCCCAAAAAGGCTGAAGGCAACATAGCCCCTTGGGAAGTCCAGCCTCTCTGGTTTCTGTCAATATTGGACGTGGACTCATCATCATTTCTTGGGTGGAGCACCTGATGAAATGAAACCTTAGTTTTGGTTTGAAGGCAAAAGTGTGGCTTATCTTTAAGCTCTGAAATTCTGCTCCAGGTGGTGAGATGCTCATGTTTTGAGAGATATGTTGAAACTAGGACCCACAGAAGGAACACCAGGTTTATGGTTCCTAAGTCACACTCGCTCTCAGCCTTACTACATGTTATTTTCTTTAACTTGCTTCTTTTAGTCTTTATTCTTTATTTTTTGTTTATAATTTTATATGTCCTCCATTGTTATTACAAGGCATTTTGTTTATTAGTAAATTAATTCGCAAAACAATACATTAAATATAAAATGACTTTAATTGTTATTTTCTTCTAGTGTTTATTTTGCCAAGCATACATGTCTTGTTTCAGTGATGCTAATATGCACATTTTAAAGTGCCTGTGAGGCCAGGTGCAGTGGTTTACACCTGTAATCCCAGCACTTTGGGAGGCCGAGGCGGGAGGATCACCTAAGGTTGGGAGTTCGAGACCAGCCTGACCAACATGGAGAAACCCCGTCTCTACTAAAAATATAAAAAATTAGCCAGACATGGTGGTGCATGCCTGTAATCCCAGCTACTCAGGAAACTGAGGCAGGAGAATCGCTTGAACCTAGGAGGTGGAGGTTGCAGTGAGCCAAGATCAGGCCATTTCACTCTAGCCTGGGCAACAAGAGTGAAACTCCGCCTCAAAAAAAAAAAAAAAAAAAGCTTGCGAGATGAAAGTGATCCAGAAGATCTGGACTCTGTGTTTTGTTTTTAATTTTTTGTAGATACAGGGTCTCCCTGTGTTGCCCAGGCTGGTCTCGAATTCCTGGGCTCAAGTGATCATCCCACCTCAGCCTCCCAAAGTGCTGGGATTGCAGGCGTGACCCACCGTGTATGGCCTTGTTTTTGTTTTTAGAGACAGGGTCTTGCTCTGTTCCCCAGACTGGAGTGTGGTGGCATATTCATAGCTCACTGCCACCTGGAACTGCTGGGCTCAAGGGATCCTCCTGCCTCAGCCTCCATAGTAGCTGGGACTACAGGCATGCACCACTGCACCCAGCTTATTTTTTATTTTTTGTGGAGATAAGGTCTCACTGTCTTGCCCAGGCTGATCTCAAATTCCTGGGCTCAAGTGATCCTCCCACCTTAGCCTTCCAAAATGCTGGGATTATAGGTATAAGCCACCATGCCAGACCAGAATCTGGACTATAAATGCAAAGAGATTTTATTTTATTTTATTTTTGGGATAGAATCTTGTTCTATAGCCCAAGCTGACATGCAGTGGCATGATCTCACTGCAACCTCTGCCTCCTGGGTTGAAGCTATTCTCCTGCCTCAGCCTCCAGAGCAACTGGGATTACAGGTGCGCACCACCATGCCCGGCTAATTTTTTTGTATTTTTAATAGAGGTGGGGCTTCACCATGTTGGCCAGGCTGGTCTCAAACTCCTGACCTCAAGTGATCCACCTGCCTCGGGCTCCCAAAGTGCTGGGATTATAGGCATGAGCCACTATGCCTGGCCACAAAGAGGTTTTAGAACTGACTTAACTGATGGACTTCTAGCATGTTTACCTTTTATAGGACTTATCAGATTGATACCCAGAAAAATATCTGTTATGTCTAAATAAGTTGAAAATAATTCTTTCAATAAGTATAAAAATTCTGAGTGACCAGAAAACAATTGTGTTATATTTTGATCAGTAGTATTTCTCTTTTTCCTCCTGGAATTATAAAATCATAGTGCATCTTACCAACAATAGGACCTTGAAGGTGAAGAACTATGGAAGTTAATTTCAGGGGGCTCATATGATTGTGAAGCTGGACTCCACTGCAGTCGAATTTTAGAGCTTTACTCACAGACCTTAAGAACTTAGAATGAGAATCCATGTGGCTTGGCTTTGGAATCAGAGAATCACAGAAGCTTGGAGATAAATTATCAGAACCTTAGAGAGTCATGAAACTTTGGAACCTCAGAATCTTGGGGCTGGATGGATATTTGAGCTGTCGTTTTATAGAAGGGAAAAACAAGTCCCCGGGAATGGAAGCAATTTGCCTAGTTCTTTCCAACTTCTAACAGTGCAGCAGGGTTAATACCCTTATATTCCTGATTTCTGTCCAGGAATCCTGGTCCGCAGACAGCCCTGTCTTCTAGTCCAAGATGCTGGCCAAGAGTGTGGAGGTGGGGAGAATGAAAGCGAGACGAGGAAAGGTGAGTGAGACCTGTGCAAGATTATGTGAGATGGTGTCTCAGCTTTGAAGCTCACCAAAACCACAGGGTGGGGTGTCATGAGGCCCTATCTTTCTTGCCAGCTTTATCTCCTGACGTATGAGTGTATCGGTCCCACCCTGTGCTTCTGCCCACACAACCACCAAGCTAATGTTCCAACCTCAATAAGCTTCACTGGGGCCCACCACAACTCTCTCAGCCTCTATGCCTTTGTTCATGGTGCTCCAGGGCTGCCAAGTACAGCTGTGCACGTTGTGCACAACACAAGGGTATCACATTCACATGGTACACATCCCAGATTTATACCAATAATTTCTAGCAGATGGCAGCAAAATGTCTTGAGGAAGAGGCATCTTTTTATCATTTGCACAAAGGTGCCATATGGGGTAGCGGGGACACTGCTGTTTGCTCTGCCTGGAATATCATCTCCCCTGTTCTCCATCGAGCAAGCTCCTGCTCCATCTTTCAAGGCCCCCTTCAGATATTCCCTCCTCCAGGAAGATATCCATAGCAACCCCCACACACCATTCCACCAAGCTGTCTGCATAGATTAATGATTAATAACATCAATCAATAGTAACTGTTGATCTGGGAAACAATAGTGTCTGGCAGAGATTTCCAAATGAGATGATTCTTGATGGACCCCAGCCCCAGGATTGAGTAACACTGAATCAGATACAAGAAAATGATGCTCTTTTCAACATTTATTGGTTAAATCAAGGAGGAAAAAGTCTCAGTTTGGTGCAAACATCTTTCACACTTTTCTTTTTTTGGTTGGGATTTTTTTTTTTTTTTTTTTTTTGAGATGGAGTCTCGCTCTGTCACCCAGGCTGGAGTGCAGTGGCGCAATCTCAGCTCACTGCAACCTCTACCTCCCGGTTCAAGCGATTTTCCTGCCTCAGCCTCCCAAGTAGCTGGGATTACAGGCGCTCACCACCACACCCGGCTAATTTTTTATATTTTTTGTAGAAACAGGGTTTCACCATGTTGGCTGGATTTTTTTATATTTTTTTGTAGAAACAGGGTTTCACCATGTTGGCTGGGGTGGTCTCGAACTCCTGACCTCAAGTGATCTGCACACCTCGGCCAATGAAAGTGCTGGGATTACAGGTGTGAGCCACTGCACCCGGCCCTCTATCACACTTTTCAACACTGGCTAATCTCCCATTTTGTCAAAGAGTGAGCAGGTTGCAGGCAGTGGTGTCTGCTGGAAATTTGATACTTGGTCTTCTTTAAATTGCATTTGATTTATTTATATGATTGCCTGCTTCCTTCCTTCCTTTCTCTGTCTTTCCTTTCCTTCCTTCTCTCTTTCTCTCTCTCTCTCTCTCTGTTTCTTTCATTCTAGACAGGGTCTCACTCTGCTGCCCAGGTTGGAGTCCAGTGGCATGATCATGACTCACTGCAGCCTCGAATTCCTGAGCTGAAGCCTCCAGTGATCCTCCCACCTCAGTCTCCCTAGTAGCTGGGACTACAGGCATATGCCACCATGCTCGATTAACTTTGGTATTTTTTGTAGAGATCGGGTTTTGCCATGTCGCCCAGGCTGATCTCGAACTCCTGACTTCAAGTGATCTACCCACTTCAGCCTGCCAAAGTGTTGGGATTACAGGGGCGAGCCACCACGCCTGGCCTATGTGATTGCTTTCTATGTATATGATACTGATTTTCCACTTCTTGTAGCATTATAAAGCTTTATTTACACATCAGTGCATTTAAGGAAAAAAAAAAGTCTATTTAAATAAAAATAATGTCAAAAGTAGACCAGGTGGCATGCAGACAGTGCAAAAACTCCTGAGGGAGATGCTCAAAGGGCTAGAGTTTGAAAAAATCTATAGATTTGTCATGAAGAGTGCAGGCTCCGGAGCCAGAGACCCTGAATTCAAGTCTTGATTTGCTAACTGTGTGACCTTGGGAAAATCACTTCCCCTCTCTGAACCTCAATTTCCTCACGTGCTAAATGAGAATAAGTATAATACCAACCTCCTTCACAATGAGTCTTCACAATGAGTAAGGCCAAGTGCTTGTCCTCCACCCCAACACATCCATTCAGGACCCCGAAACCAACCTGCCTCCTCTGACCTCCTGCACAGATGCCCTGACTGGACCATGTCTTACCTAGTATCCTTGGCTAGCATCTCACAGGTGTATCTGGGTTTCCCCTGCTGGGCGGAGCAAGCTCCTTGACAGCAGGAACTTAGCTTTATTCATTTCGGCCTCCACATTTGGTAGACTCACATAACAGGCAGAAAGAACTTTTCAGTGTTTGCTGCTTTTATGATCGTTGTAATTATTAAGACCGAGGAAGTCACATCCCAGTAACGGTGGGGGACCTCAAGGCACACATCTGTTTACAGATCCAGGAGACATTTTGACTTTAGGGAATTTTATTTGCTTGGGAAAAATGGGGAAATAATTGAACATGAAGAAGGGTTGGGGCAAGGTAGCAGAGTGAGGTGTGGACTCATTTAGGGGGCTCTGTGGCCAGGACAGGGAAGCAGCCCTCAAGGTGCCACTGCTTGTCACGCAGGCGACGCAGGGACTGCATCTGTGGCTGGAAGGCCCCCCACTCATTCCAGTGCCGGAAGTCGCCAGGCTCTAGGAGGTACTGGTACCCGCGGTAGCCAGGATACTGATAGCCAACCCATCTGAGAGGAAAGTGAGGACAGAGTGGAGACAGCCAGCCTCGTTGCCTGGCACCCAGACCCACGCCAGACCAGCCTGTTCTTCATTGATCCCTGCAGTCTGCTGCTCTCTATCCCTCACCTCTGTCCTGGCTGTATCCCTTCCTGCTCTGTGCCCTGGGGCAAGGACTTTGCCTCTCTGATAGGCCTCGGTTTCCTTTTCTAGGAAGTGAGCATGGTCACGGTGCCTGGTTTTATTAAGAGTGTTGCGGGGGGCCAAATGGAGAATGCACCTCGAGTTGTTTGCTAAGCATGTTGCCTGTGCATGGTAGGAATATTAATACACATCCCATTAAATGTGATGATGCAGGGCTCAGAGAACAAATCCAAGGAAGCAAGAATAGGACTTAGGGACTGGTTAGCAATGAAGCAAATGAAAGAGAGGAAGTGTTATTTCAAAAAATTGGTTTTCTTTGTAGGTAAGTGCATCAGTGTGTAGCAGCTGGGAACACGCACTCTGGTATTAAACATACCTGGGTTCAAATCCTAGCTCTGCCATTGATTTACTAGCTGTGAGAATCTAGGTGGATATGGTATCAGAACCTCAATGTACTGTCTGTAAAATGGGGATGATAATGCACCGACCTCCTTGGTTTGTTATACAGATTTAACAGCTATTCATTTAAAGTGGTTAGCACAGTCCTTGGTATATAGTAAGCACTCAATAGAAGTTAGCCTCAGTGATTAATTTCTAACTTCTGTCATTATCTTTGCTGAGAGGGTCTTTCCAGGCCTCTCCCAGACCCCCTCCCTCTATTGTAAAGCCTGATGTAAGTTCCAGCCTCTTCAGATAAACCTTTGACCTGACCTCCACCCCAACATACACAGCCAAATCCTAGAAGCCTTCTCTCCTACTCTGACCTCCAGCAACACAATTGCCCTGGCTGGCCCATTGTGCAACCTAGTATGCACATTGTGCAACCTAGTATGGCCCATTGTCCAACCTAGTATTGTTGGACACCATCTCACAGGTATATCTGGGTTTCCCCTGCTAGGCCAAATAAGTTCCTTGAAGGTGGGAACTTGGCTGTATTCATTGCTGCTTTCCCCAGTGTACCTAGCATAGTGCCTGGCTCACAGACAAGGCTCAGTATATTTCAGATGGCTTGAATGGCAGGGATATAGGTTTCAGGGAGGCAGAAAGGAACAAGAAAAAGGCCATGGCCCTGATGGTGTTACAGGAGCTCAGAACAAGTCTGGGAATGGAGAGACAGAGCCTTACATTTACCTAGAGGAGATCAGGGGTGTCCGGCATGGTCATTTGGAGACAGGGGGATGGATAAAGTGACTCCTTTGATCCGGCCCTTCCATGTATTCTCATAACATAAGGTCATGGGGCTCTGTTTTGATAGCTTCAGATCCTGAGCGTTCAGAGCAGAAAGGGCACTCTTAGATCAGGGAGTTTTGTGTGCCCATTGCCTAACTGGCGAGACTGAGAGGCGGAGAGGTGTTTAGGCTCACTCAAGTTCCTTATCATGTCAGTACCAGGGTCGGGCCCATCTCACGAGGCAAATGAACTGCTCAGAACTCATTCTGTTCATTCTCCCAGAAGGTCCTGATTTCCCTGAATATTCCCTGTCCCTGGATGCATCCGGCCTCATCTATCCACATCAGCGCCAGCTCTTTTAGTTGATTATCCCTTCAACCCCGACTAGGTTTAGCAGCTCCTATTTTCTCCATCTAACAGCTCTTTAGATCTGATTTGTTTACACTGACCTGGAATTCCTCAAAGTATGACTCTATTCCCCAGAGGAATAAAGCTCTATTGGCTGAATCCCAGGAACCAGCACTGGGAGACGGTGGGAGGGGCCACGGCCTTCTATAGGAATCTGATGTTATAACCTGTAAGGAGAGCAGCCTCTGCTTCTACCTGTGCTTGAAGCGGGGGATGTGGACCTGGCAGGAGTGATGCTTACGTTCCACTGGTGACCTTCACGCTGCCCACGCGGTCACTGAAGCCGTGGACCCAGAGACTGGGCGCGTCGTCCCCCTGGATCTCTATGGTGTTGCCCTTGAAGTTGGCCCCTTCAAACAGGGAGATCTTGTGCTCCTGGGAGTCCTGGGGAAAGAGAGGCCAGGTCAGGTGTGTGAAGTACCAATGGGACAAAAGGAAGAAACTTAGCGGGGCCTTCGGGGTGTGGAGGGAGAGAGCTGAACCTGTTCAGGCCGCTGGGGGACTCTCCAGACACCACTGCTGTCTATTCTGGAAGGGGACATAAGGAAAATGGGATGACAACTCCCATGTCATAGGGTCCTTGTGAGGATGAAATGAGTGCATCCATATAGAGCGCTGAGCATGATGCCTGGCATACATCAAGTGCTCAATAAATGCATTTATTGGCCGGGTGCCATGGCTCATGTCTGTAATCCCAGCACTTTGAGAGGCCCAGGTGGGAGGATTGCTTGAGGCCAAGGGTTCAAGACCACCCTGGGCAACATAGCAAGATCCTATCTCTAAAAAAATTTTTTTTTTTAATTTGCCAGGCACGGTGTCACATGCCTATAGTCTCAGCTACTTGGAACGCCGAGGTAGGAGGATTGCTTGAGCCCATGAGGTTGAGGCTGTAGTGAGCTACTGTACTCCAGCTTGGGTGACAGAGCAAGATCCTGTCTCAAAAAAAAAAAATTTTTATTTTTAAAATTATGGTCAGGGACAAAAAGGCTCAGAGAGGTCAAGCTTATCGATCAACATCACACAGCCAGGGAGGGGCAGAACCTGTCAGAGAAACATTTCACTCCTAAGCCCAATCAATCAGTGTCCCTGTGCCATCAGGAGTTTAAACAATTGCCCTTTTGTAAATGCTTCTTACAAACCAGGTGAAATGTGGAACATTGGTGGAACACAGATCTAGGTTCAAATCCTGCCTCTGACATTTATGCACTGGTGATCCTGGACATTTCACTCTGCCTCCCTCAGAGCCTCCGTTTGTTCATCTACAGAATAGGGTTACTGCCAGGCATGGTGGCTCACACCTGCAATCCCAGCACTTTGGGAGGCCGAGGCAGGTAGATCACCTGAGATCAGGAGTTCGAGACCAGCCTGGCCAACATGGTGAAACCCCATCTCTACTAAAAATACAAAAATTAGCCGGGTGCAGTCACAGGTGCCTGTAATCCCAGCTACTCAGGAGACTGAGGCAGGTGAGTCACTTGAACCCAGGAGGCAGAGGTTGCAGTGAGGCAAGATCACGCCACTGTACTCTAGCCTGGGTGACAGAGCAAGACTCTGTCTCAAACAACAACAACAAAAAAGAACGGGGTTACTATTGGTTTGTGGGATTGTCATGGCTGCTCAACTCATGGTTGAGTGCTAACTGTAAAACAGGCCCGGCAGGGCGTGGTGGCTCACGCCTGTAATCCTAGCACTTTGGGAGGCCGACATGGGCAGATCACAAGGTCAGGAGTTTGAGACCAGCCTGACCAACATGGAGAAACCCCATCTCTACTAAAAATACAAACAAAAAAACAAAATTAGCCGGGCGTGGTGGCACGTGCCTGTAGTCCCAGCTACTCAGGAGGCTGAGGCAGGAGAATCGCTTGAACCTGGGAGGCAGAGGTTGCAATGAGCCAAGATTGCATCACTGCACTCCAGCCTGGGTGACAGAGCAAGACTCTGTCTCAAAAAACAAACAAACAAACAAATAAAAAACCAGGCCCACCCTTGAATTTGGGCACATGATTCAGTTCTGGTTTGCACTTATTTTTAATCTTTCATGACCCTGTGTCTTGTTTTTAAAGTTTGTCTTGGTCGGCCGCGGTGGCTCAAGCCTGTAATCCCAGCACTTTGGGAGGCCGAGACGGGCGGATCACGAGGTCGGGAGATCGAGACCATCCTGGCTAACATGGTGAAACCCCGTCTCTACTAAAAAATACAAAAAACTAGCCGGGCGAGGTGGCGGGCGCCTGTAGTCCCAGCTACTGGGGAGGCTGAGGCAGGAGAATGGCGGGAACCCGGGATGTGGAGCTTGCAGTGAGCTGAGATCCGGCCACTGCACTCCAGCCTGGGCGGCAGAGCGAGACTCCGTCTCAAAAAAAAAATAAATAAATAAATAAATAAAGTTTGTCTGTTATTTCTGAGGGCAGGGATCATCTATCTTTTCAAAAGTCATCATGCACTGTTTTAGGCCCAAAGGTTTGAAAAGCCAAAGAGATGAACAGGAAATAGCAGAGTGATGCCAACCTCAGTGTCTAGGTTCAAACCTACAGACCTGGGTTCAAATCCCAGCCCCAGCAACTCCCAGCTGTGTGGCCTTAGGCCAGTCATTTTCTACTTCTGAGTCTCAGTTTCCTTGCTTTTAAAATGCATGTTATCATAGCCTGTCGCATAGGACAGTTGTAGGGATTATGTAAAAGGCAGGTAATATACCCAGTACGTAGTTGGTGCTTAAAAATGGGTGCTGTGATTATCTACTGTTATTCACCACCACTAGGAGGAAGAGGAGCCCAGGATGTAAGTGCATCCTTCTATGAAAGACTCCAGTAGAAGATTATAGATGAAGAAAGAACTTGTTAATTCTTCCAGAGGAAAGGAGAGCAGATCAGGGAAGGCTTCATGGAAGAAGTGACACTTGAGAGGGGCCTTGGAGGTTAAGGAGGAGTGCACAATGCTGAGAAGGTAAGGAGGTTTGAGGGAAGGCACTGAGGCAGAGAAGGCATAGACAAAAGCTGGGGGGTGGGAGTGTGCAAAGAAAATATCTGTGTGACCAGGGTGCAGGAAGGCAAATGCATGGTGTCAGGCAGGATAGAAGCACAGGGGACCCTTTGGGACATGGCAAGACAAATGCCCTTAATGCAATTACCAGTCAGCGGTAAAAGGACTTAATCAGTGGTAATAACAATTACTTATTACTGTTACAGTCTTGAGGGCCTTGGGAAAGTTGTTAGTCAATGGCTCCCACTGCTAGTGGCGTCAAGACTAAACTTACCATCACTGATGAGACCCTGCAAAACCCTGGCCTCCACCAGCACCTCCCCTCCCATTTTGCCTCCCTCTCTCCTCCACTCCCCCTGCTGCAGCTTTGCTGGCCACCTTTCATTTTCTTGGTCCCACCAGTCCATCGTTGCTCCAGGAGTTTTGCACACACTGTTCCCTGGAAGGCTTTACCATCTGCTCTTCACACGGCTGAGTTAGTTTCCAAACTTTGGGAGCTGGCTTCCCTGACCACGCCCTGACCACTCCCACCTCTAACAATACCTGAGCCCCCAGTTCCTGCTTCTGCTCTCCTAGTTAGATTGCACCGCCTTTGTGTAGCACTCGCCACAATTTGCAATTGTAGATGGATTTCCATGATTAGGTATCTGATAGCTGCCTCCCTGGGTAGCTTAAGTCCCAGGAAGACAGGGACCTAATCCGTTTGATGCATAGTTTTGCGCTCAGAGCCTAGAACCAGAGCTTTTGGCAGAAACAGGCCAACTGGTTAGGCGCATTGGTTCACGCCTGGAATCCCAGCACTTTGGGAGGCCCAGGCGGGTGGATCACTTGAGATCAGGAGTTTGAGACCATCCTGGCCAACATGGTGAAACCCCGTCTCTACAAAAAATACAAAAATTATCTGGGCGTGGTGGTGCACACCTATCATCCCAGCTACTTGGGAGGCTGAGGCAGGATAATTGCTTGACCCAGGGAGGTGAAAGTTGCAGTGAGACAGATCATGCCACTGCACTCCAGCCTGGGCGACAGAGTTAGACTGTGTCTCAAAAAAAAAAAAAAAAAACGGAAAATAGAAACAGGCCAACTGAAATGCCTGGTTTCAAGTAGAAGATGGTCAGGTTTATTTATTTTTTTATTTTGAAAAGATCCCTCTAACTTCCCAGGACAGGCGGCTGGAAAGGAGTCAGGGAACCCAGCACGGAGAGAGCTGAAGCTGACCAGGTCAGAGATGATGGTGGCCTGGACCAGGACTGTGGCAAGGCAGAGAGATGAAGGGTTAGACCAAGCTTGTTTAACCTGCGGCCTGCAGGCCACATGTGGCCCAGGATGGCTTTGAATGTGGCCCAACACAAATTTATTAACTTTCTTAAAACATTATGAGATTTTTTTGCAATCGTTTTAAAGCTCATCAGCTGTCATTAGTGATAGTGTATTTTATGTGTAGCCCAAGACAATTCTTCTTCCAGTGTGGGCCAGGGAAGCCAAAATATTGGGCACCCCTGAATTAGACCATTGGATCTCAGCCCTGGCTGCACAGACGGACTACTTAGAGGGCATAGAAAAAACAGCAGTGCCGGAGTCCCAGCCCCAGAGATTCAGAACTAATTGGTCTGGCGTGGGGTCTAGGCTTTGAGATTTCTAAACTTTTCTAATAACATCCTTTGTTTAAATAAATATACCTAAAATGTTATAATTTCAATGTGTAACCAATATAATGATATCAATGCATTGTTGACATTCTTTAAAAATTTTTTTACTATGTATTCAAAATTTAGTGTGTATTTTACACTTATGACACATCTCCATTTAGCCAAAATTCAAATGTCCAATGGCCACATATGGCTAGTTCCTATTATGTTGAATAGCAAGCTTCTAGAAGCTACTGGAAATGCCCTGGTTGATCATTCTTCCAAACAAACCCCTTAACATAGGTTGGCATATAAGAACCATTCAATGATTGAGAGAGACATCTGTGGATTCTTACAGAGAGTGCATCATGAAGGCAAATAATTCAGTCTTACATTCTGTGAAAAGCATTGGGAATGATCTGTTTGAATAATCCATTAAGATAAATTTGGTGATGTCAAAACAGCTGGTGGTTGGCACTTGATAGCCTCAAATGCACACTCATGAAAATTCTTATAAATGTTCCCGTCATGGAAGACAAAAGTCGGTTACCATCAGCAACTAACATTGGTGAGTAAGATGTAGCTGGTTCATGATTCATCATCAACTTAATTCTGGAAAAAACTGTGAATCACTTGGGGATATCACCACCATTTTGACCTTGAATCTTCTGGAAGTTGACTTAGTTAAATATTATAAGAAACTAATTCAGTATATTGTCTTATTATTAAGAGGTTCAAGCTGTGTTCTACAGTATCCCTCTTCCTTTTTTTTTTTTTTTTGAGATGGAGTCTCGCACTGTCATCCCAGCTGGAGTGCAACAGCGTGATCTCAGCTCACTGCAACCTCTAGCTCTGGGTTCAAGCAACTCTCCTGCCTCAGCCTCCCTAGTAGCTGGGATTTACAAGCATGTGACACTACGCCCAGCTAATTTTTGTATTTTTAGTAAAGACAGGGTTTCGCCATGTTGGTCAGGCTGGTCTTGAACTCCTGACCTTGGGTAACCGCCCACCTCGGCCTCCCAAAGTGCTGGGATTACAGGCGTGAGCCACCATGCCCTGCTGCAGTATCCCTCTTCTTAGCCATTGCATGATCTGCAACCAACATGTTTGGTGTTTTGAATGGGCACTGAAATTTGAAAAGCTTCCCCAGGCCTGGCATGGTGGCTTACAGCTGTAATCCTAGCACTTTAGGAGGCCCAGGCGGGAGGATCACTTGAGGCCTGGAGGTCAGGGCTGCAGTAAGCTATGATCACATTACTGCACTCCAGCCTGGGGGACACAGCAAAACCCTATCTTCAGAAAAAAAAAAAAAACAAAGCTCCCAGGAAGGTCTAAATGTGCAGCCAAGGATGTCAAGAGAATCAAGGAAGATGCTGAAGTTTTTAGCTCTGACTTGGAAGCTTTTGTGTTTACCATTTGCCCAGGATTCCTAGCTGGGTATGTAGCGAGTGTGTTAAGGACACTGATGAATTGATGAGCTCAAGAATCCACTGTCCTTTGACAACTCAGAGGCTGCCACACCTCCTCACCCACCATCATCTCCTTTTTGCCCTTGTCACATCTCAGACTTACCCCTGCCCTGCCCCGCCTGGCTGATTCTCCAGCCCCAGCCAGAGAGCCACTCACCATCTTGACGGGCCGGAAGGACATGAGCCGATCACTGCGGTAGCTGCTCGACCATGTGTCCCAGCGAGGGTACTCGCCCTTCTCCAGGATGAACATCTCCCCGCGCAAGTTGGACTGCTCAAAGGCGACCCAGCTGGACACAAGAAAGACCATGAGGCAGACAGGGGACAAATGGTTAGTAGAAGCCCCCACTCCCTACTTGCCTTTCTGTCTCCCCTGGCAAGGCAGCCTTGAGGCCAGTAGGAAAGTCCAAAGGGGGCTGAACATGTCTGGGTTTGATTTTAGGCTATGACACTTACAGGCTGTGTGACTATGGGCAAGTAACTGCCTCTCTGAGCCTTTTTCTCATCTATACTCATATGCCTATTTTCTTGGAGCTGGTGAAGGATTGAGTGAGATAAATATGTGTGATTATCTGAGCACACTGTTTCTCTAGATGTAGGGTTCATACATGCTTCAAGTACTATCAGGACTTGGAGCCGAGGAACACGTAGACATTTTAAACTTGACTCCAGCTAGGAGAAAGTATCTGTTTGATGTTAATGTGCTTTTAACACTTACTAATCTCTCCTTTTTTTTTCTTTTGTAACAAAGGGAGAAAAGGCCACTAGCCCAGAATCTCCAGCAGACAATGGTGTAATAGCAACATAATAACACCACTTTTGTGTTTATTGTTAATTTTGTATGGATACCTTTGACTTATAGGAAATAATATTAGCCTTCCATTGATAAAAAGTGGTGTAAAGGTTCTTTTTTTTTTTTTTTTTTGAGACGGAGTCTCGCTCTGTCGCCCAGGCTGGAGTGCAGTGGCCGCATCTCAGCTCACTGCAAGCTCCGCCTCCCGGGTCTACGCCATTCTCCTGCCTCAGCCTCCCGAGTAGCTGGGACTACAGGCGCCCGCCACCTCACCCGGCTAGTTTTTTGTATTTTTTAGTAGAGACGGGGTTTCACCGTATTAGCCAGGCTGGTCTCGATCTCCTGACCTTGTGATCCGCCCGTCTCGGCCTCCCAAAGTGCTGGGATTGCAGGCTTGAGCCATCGCGCCCGGCCTAAAGGTTCTTTAAAAATGTGTTTATTTGTGTTTAGCAGGATCATTTTAAATGAAATATGTTAAATGAACGACAATCTCGGAGGTACAGGGGTAAGGGAAAAATTGATACAGGTGTTTGCATCCTTGCTGGGTAAAGACTGGCCTGGCATTCAGGAGACACTCAGTAACTAGTACGGGGCAATAGGAAGGGAATGATGGTAATATCTACCCTCAGATACCTGTGATAAGTTAATGTGATAATGCATATGAGGGTGCTAGGTTCCTTACAAGGACTAATTAGAGGTTTGAAATTAGATGGAAGATTTACCTGGCTTTCCCAGTGAAGACTGATTAAGGATAAGAAGTGAGCTTGTGTCAGAGGGACCAGGGATTATGGCAGTGCAGGTGGGGTGGATAAGACAATCCCCATTCCATAGATGAGAAAGCTGAGACTAAGGAACTCCTTGACTTTTGCTCCCTGTATGTTCAAGAGTTCTCAGGGAACAAGAGAGGGATGAGGGGACACTGACACTAGCACCTTCTCCCAGGGGGCTAGTGGGACCCTGCTCTCCCCAGAAGGAGATGAGGATGAGGGTCTATCACCGTGGGCCGAGGGAGAATACATCAGAGGAGCCTCAGGTCTTTATCTGAGAGATGAGTTAACCACATTGGGGTAAATTAAAGATATGTTTGTCTTCCCAGAATAGAGTTGAATTTGCCTCAGCCCTGTCTGGTCTGGAGTAGAAGAGAAATAAATGGGAGAATAGGTGGATGGATGGATGGATGGATGGATGGACAGATGAATGGGTGGATGAAGGGATGGTTGAATGGATGGATAGGTGGATGGGTAGACGGATGGATGAATGAATGCATGGATAAAGGAATGGATGAAGGGATGGTTGAATGGATGGATAGGTAGATGGGTAGATGGATGGGTGGGTAGATGGATAGATTTATAGATGGATGGGTGGGGGATGGAGAACATACGGGGGTATGTATGTATAAATGGAGAATGGATGTATGTATGGATAGATCGATAGATGAATGGGTAGATGCATGGGTAAATAGATGGATGATGAATAAATGGGTGGCTAGATGCATGGGTGAATAAGAAGGGAGCCTTGGAAGGTGGTTTCATGCAGGAGTTAAGAGGACAGACCCTAGAAACAGACACACTTGAGTCCTAATCCAAGCTTGCTGATTATTTGCTGCATGAATTTGGGCAGCACTTAGGCTTGCTAAGCTTTAGTAGCAGAGAAGAAATGATACATCTACTTTGTTGCATCTACCTTGTTGGGAGATTATGAGGGCCTAAAAGAGGGGATGCATGGAACAGATACAGCACAGAGTAAGCCTCCAAATTAATACTGTTCATGATTAAATGCAGAAGGGAACTGGAGGTCTAGGCTTATGGAAGAACAGACACTGATGTGGTCTTGCCACCATGCCAAAGGTCCCCCTAAAATCTCCCCTATCTTCTTGAGCAGGAACAGTGAGGATCTAAATTTTAAATGTTTACATCTATGCCTTTTCTTATCTCCTATGGCTCATTTAAACCTGCAAGCAAGGAGAGAGGGTAGGGCAGGAATTTTAAGTTATAAGATATGGAAACTGAGGCTAAGAGGGGTTCAGTCCCCAGCCTAAGGTCATGTGATGGTGTCAGGTGTCAGGCTGTAGTCTCCTGGTTTTCAGGCAGGCAGGGCTCCTCACTTTCCCCATGCCTACCTCACCCTCTTCATTCTTTTTTTCCCATGGCCCTGCCAGCACCCACACAGACCCAGGCCCCCAGACCACAGGCCCATTTCCATGCCCATCAGGCACAGCCCCAAGGCACACGTCAGACACCAGCTGCATCTTTGTTTGAGGAGAAATACTCTGGGTTTGAGTCACTGGTACCAAAAAAAGCCTGAAAACCCAAGCTGGCCACATCCGGTAGCTTCTGCTTCCAGCTGGGTTTTTGGCGCTGAGGGTGGAGCTGAGGCTGCGTTGACCACATGGAGGGTGCAGTGGGTGCAGGAGGTAGAAATGGTCCTGGGTAGGCTCCAGGATAAGTTGGCTAAATGCACAGGGCAGGGAGGTGGGTACATGACCATCAGAGTCACCTGCCGTGTCTGGGTGCCCACAAGGTGACAGGCCCAAGCTGCATGATCTCCCTCAGACCTCAACATAATCCTGTGAGGAGTGGTGAGGGCCATGATTTTCCCCACTTCAAAGATGAGGAAACTGAGGCTTGGACACAGGGCAAACAGGGGAAGTCAGGACTCAAACCCAGGCTTGTCTGACCTCAAAGCCCATCTCAGAATGGGCTCAGAATACAGGATGACTGGAACCCTTGCAGGCTTTCAAAGTGGGGAGACAAGAGCCAACGAGCCACGTGGATCTTGTCCTGGGGTTGCCCCTCTACCGTGACCTCAGCACACCAGGCTTGACATAGGGCAAACACTCTGCCCAAGGATGACGCTCCCTGTTTTATATGGGAGTCACTAAGGCCCAGAGATGCCCACAGAGACAGGAACAGGCAGTGAAGCATGGTGATTAAGAGCTTTAGGAATGAACTCAATCAACCTGAGTTGAATCCTGGCTGTGCCACTTACCGATAGGTGACCTTGGGCAAGAGACTTACCCCCTCTGAGCCTCAGTCCTCCCATCTGTCAAGTGGGCATAAGAATAGCCCCTCCCTCCTACAGCACTGTGAATCATCTAGGTGCGGTCCCGAGTCAGTGCCTGGCACCTGGTGGGTGCTCCACAGATACTTATCATCACTGCCAGGCAGCTGGACGCCCAGGAAAGGGGACAGCGAGTGGACACTTCACTCTTTGGCCTCTCTCTGCCCTCAGTGATGGGCTAGAGTTTTTGCTACAGTAGAAGCAGCGTTTCTCCAGAGCCCAGAATCATGGCTTACTGCCAGTGTGGTCTTATGCTAATTGGATCACCTCTCTGAGCCTCAGTTTCCTCATCTGTAAAATGAGATTGAGAACAATTCCTCCCTCTCCAGTTTGATACGAGGATTGGAAATAACGTATGTGCCAGGAGCACGCACGGCCGCAGGCACAGAGCAGATGCTGGAGAAATGGCAGCTACTGTTGTGTGGTCATTTCACTGTGGCAGAGAGTGTGCCCCTCCTCCCCCTAGCACTCACGGTCCCGAGGAGACAATGATGCTGCGCACACGGTCGAAGCCACGGTCTCCCAGGTTCAAGCACTCCCCCGAGAATTCTCCCCGACGGCCCTGGAAGTTTTCCTGTTCGAAGACCACCAGCTGCAGGAGAGAAGCCCCCATGCCGAGGGCAGAGTGAGGGGGAGTAAAAACTTCATTATCTATATAAATAAAGGCAGGCAGTGCAGGAGTCACGTAAACATATGATGAGCCACGGTTTGTGAAATGATCCTGTCCTCCCATTCCCCAATTCTTTACTGTTTGTTGTTGTTGTTGTTGTTGTTGTTGTTGCTGTTGTTTTTAGATCCGAGTCTCACTCTGTCGCCCCAGCTGAAGTGCAGTGGCACAATCATGGCTTACTGCAACCTCTGCCTCCCAGGCTCAAGCGATCCTTCCACCTCAGCCTCCCGAGTAGTTGGGATTACCAGCACACGCCACCACGCCCAGCTATTTTTTGTAGACACAGGATTTGGCCATGTTGCCCAGGCTAGTCTCGAATTCCTGAGCTCAAGTGATTGGCCTGCCTTGGCTTCCCGAAGTGTTGGGATTACAGGTGTGAGCCATTGCACCTGGCCTCATGCCCTAATTCTGAAGCTAAGATCTGCACCATCAGTAGGAACTTATGAACCTCCCTTTCGGGACTTTCTTTATGCTGTTCCTCCTACCTGGAATGCCTTCTCCACCACACATCTCCAGCTTAGAGCTTCCACAGCCTAACTGAAGTTCGCTAACTCATTCCAGGCTTGACATTCTGTTTTAGACTCAGACGCCACCTTCTCCAGGAAGCCTTCTCTGATTGCCCCCTCCCCCATCGGCCTTGGTTGAGCATCCCCCACTGTGCTCTCTCTCCCCATTAGCAGCACAACTAACCCACCACACAGTCACTGCTGTTTTGCTTTGGGGTCTCCCTCTCTCTCTGCACTCCCTCTCTCCCATTACCCAGCCCCTCCAAAGACCAAGGGCTCCTCCAGGGCAGGGCCTGAGGTTG